ACTGACAAACACGAGCGACCTTTCCCTCGATCCCAAAAGCTCACGAACCTATGTTCGATGAGTGTACCTGAAGAAGTGGTGTACTTCTTGCATATATATATATATACATTATATCCCTAGGGCTCCAACCACCTCCTGAGAAGATGGTTGGGGTGGGTTTGGGGGGTCTAACAACCTTCTGAGGATATGGTTGGAGCCCTAGGGTATATTGTATAATATAGTTATATATATAACATACCCTATAAGTCCAAAGACATTTTCGTTTGACCGACTGAAGTACAGACAATTCATGAACATTCCTCGACGTGGGTCACCTAAAGACCATTCCTTTTTATAGCCTTTGACTCGCAGGATATATATATATACTTAGGTATGATGGGCAACCACATGTACCTCTTGTAAGGGGGGAAACCGCATGAAGGGTGCACGAGGTTATGCTCAATTCTTGGGCTTCTAGACATCAGTACGAAACAGAACATGCCAAGAACATTCCGACGATTGGTTGTCCATTTGACCCCCGTACATAGTTAACATATTCTGGCTGGAGCAGGCCGCTATAGCTGTGCTATTATAGCACGTGTAATGAACTTCCGGAAAACAGTCATGGAAGCTGAATGAACAGAGCCCCGTTGTAGAGGAAAATGGTCTTCCAAGGGGCCATGCCATCCACTTCCATGTTAGTTCCAGGGAGTGTATATGTGGCGAAGCAACTGCGAAGCACTCCCAGAGACCCGTCTGACAGTCTTCGTCGGTGTTTTGGGACACTGAGCTTGTCGAAGCTATCTTCGCAGAGGTCGCCCACTCAACCTACCCCGGATGACCATGGATGACCATGGACGACCTGCCTAACCTTTTTGGGGACAGGTGGAACAAGGTCTACCTCCGGCCACTGAGGTCGCGAGGAGCTTTTCAAGCTCGGCGTTTTCGACGGTTTTTCGAGAAGTGCTGGTCTCCCCAAACGAATTCCTCAAAACATAGAGAGCAGAGCAACCTTGAGTGCATGTAGCATACTTGGTGCGGCAATGTGTGTTTAAGATATTTAAGAATTCTTTCATGAGATATGCTACAGCCCTCGCATAAAGTTTATGACCCACGTCGCCCTAGTTTTGCAATCCAACCGCTTTAAAATACATTTAGATACAGCCTGTAACGCTGCAAGCCGCTTCCTCCGGCCTAAAAATGCCGACCTGACCCAAGGTTTCTACCCCCAAATCCATTCAATAGCACCTTCCCACAACACGGACTGCGCCGCAGACAGCAAAACAACTCGGACTCACTTCGACTCCCACGAGGCTGCGAGGCTGTGCCACCTTTGGCATGGTGGTCTCCTGGGCCTCCCCAGGTCACGGTGCACAGCGCTGGGGCGAAGACGTGCAGCGGGGGGAGCGGTCGCCGGAGGAGGTCGCGCAGCTCTTCCGGTCGTTGGGGATGCTTCGCGATCCAAGGGCCGAGGCGTCCCTCAACGTGGCGCGGCTGGTGGCGAAAGGCCAAGAGCTGGTGCAGCTCTTCGTGTTTCGCAGGCGCCGGGAGACCTCGGCCGACTTCGCTACGGGGCGCCCCGAAGTGGCGCCGTGGGGCGGTGTGGAGGTGGCGCCATCGAACGCCTTCAGCACGTGCGAGTCGGAGATTATGGATGTAGTTGACCCTTTGGTGCCACAAGCTGGCAGCATTTGGAGCTCTGAATCCTGCACGCTCACCCTGGTGCAGCTTCAATCCTTTCTCTTCCTCTTGCGAAGCATCTACCACGCGTCGGAGCACGACCTGGCATCGGAGCTGGCGTCTTTCGCAGGAGTTTGGGTGTGGATCAAGTGGACTTTGCGTCGTGATGGACTTCACGGCCTCATTGGTCGTTGGGACTTAGGGCAGATCTTGGCATTGCTCTCCCAGGTCTTGTGCGAGGAGAAGGTCGAGGAGGGTGCTGCGCAGTTTTCGAGTGGACCGGAGATCTCACAGGTCTTAGAATTGGGTGTTTTCTCAGGCCTTTGTGAGGGCAGGCGACAGGGCTTGTGGAGAGAGGCTCAGGAGATGTGGCAAAGCCATCATACTTGGCGAGGATGGATCCGGCCGAAACCCTTCAGCTTCGAGTGCGTCAACCAGACACAGATTGCTCGCGCCCCGCCTGGTGCCAGGCTGTGTGGAGGTGCCGGGAGCCCGAGGTTTCTCTATCGGAACGTGATCTCGAGCTCGTCACCCTGGTTTGCGTGGAGACATTTGTTGCTGCTGGAGCAAGTCTACTTCTTCCGTTGGTCCACGGTGACGGATGTAGTTCCATGGACGTACTGAAATGCCGGCGCATCCGGCCCTTTTTTCAGTTGTGCAAGCAATCGGACAGGTAGATGAAGTCATCAACACCTCCAGAGATTTTCCAGCCACTGCTCCAGTCAAGGAATTTGGCTGACCCAGAAGCACCCGGCGACGCCTCCTTCGGAACGAAAACGGCCGCCCCATATCGATGTAGCGATCAGGAGGCCATGCCTTTCACGTTGACGGTCGTTTTCGGTCTCCAGGCCCTGGCGGAGTAGACCGGTCCACGTTCCGAACCCAAGAGGTCCAATAGCGGCGACCCAGGAGGTCCAAGCTGTCGCTTCAACACCCATCCGCAGGAAGCTGGTTCGGTCACCACCGGGCCATGTAGTGGGGCGGTTTGCCGTTGGTTTGTGCTTGGATATGGGCGTGGTTGGTCGTGGTGCAGCTTTGACTGGATGAGGATTTTGGACGCCGCACACGCACACACACTGACTTACTGACGTGTGAATTGAATTAGGTGACTGAAAAGGGGAGTAGAATCAGAATGGAGCATGTTAACCCAACATGAACCAACAATCACGGTGGCCAGCCATTTCCTTTTCCTTGATCCACGCTCACCTACTCCGCCGCAGGTGATGTGGACGTGGCGAATGGCTCCTGGGCCGAGCTCAGCAACTGAATACAACCGAAGATTCCCTGCCACACTCAAAGCTGCAACTTGAAGCTGAGTCAGGTTCGACAGTTGTTCTTCACTTAGTACCAAACAACTGGAGCTGGGTGAACATTTGCAAGAACCAGGGGTCACAAATGACAAAGGGGGGTTTTTGTAGTGATAATAGGCACCCCTATCCTCCAATAGCCACCCCTTTGGAACTACTAGAAAGAACCGACTTCAATGGCTTCTGGGTTCTGGATCCTGTTTGCAGAGCTTTGGAAGTGCTTCCAAGGGAGGATTCATTCCAACTCTATTATGGCGGAATGATCCTATGCACTCCCCCAGGGCATCATGCTATGCATGTGCAAAAGAACCATAAAGAATCTCAAGGCGTTGCACCGCCTCCAAATCCGAGTCATCATGCATAGTCCAAGTCCGAGGCCTCCAAGTCCAAGTCAGTTGTTGCTGACAGGTTTTCTGGTGATGCCTCGTGTCCCATGCCTCAACCCGGACGGGTCGTGCTGGCTCATCTTGAACACCTTCTGGCACTCCAGGCATTGGAAGTGGTACATGAGTACATGACTGTGAGTCATGGCACCTCCTCCACCAAACCCATGGGAGGTTGACATCCCTGGTGCCAGGGATCTGTTCATTTGACCCGGGTTTGACCCACAGCCACATCACGCATAGCCCACGCGTTTTTTTTTTGCTTGCCTGAGGCATGTTAGAGTCTATATACAGTATTCCTTCTTCATCCTTCTTCTAGGTCTTTGGCAGGTCAAATAGACCTATAGGTCTATTCCTTCTTCTAGTCTATATTCCTTCTTCTAGGCATGTTAGGTCTTCTAGTCTATATTCCTTCTTGCACACCCAAATGGATCGGCAGTGGCAAGTAGCTGCTGGTGAGCCTGAACTTTTGGAACTCATATTCGCTAAGGATGACAAAGTGACTGGAGGTGACTTTCCCGATGAGCTCAAGGTCCACTTGTATGGGTGTGTAGCATATATAGGAAGACCTCCCAGGCAACGATCCCCTGGGTTCGGTTCGGGAAACAGACCAGACCAGTGTACCCAGTGAAAAGGGGCAACCAAGGTCACCGACCACCCTCCACCGACCATGAGTCGCCTCCCGTCGGCTCCTTTGCTCCTCTGTCTGACCGGTTCCCTGCCGATTGCCCGAAACAGTGGCGCCAACGGCATCGCGCCAATCCTCTTCGAACGAACCGAGGGACTTTCCCTTTCCTCTCGCCTTTCCTCTCGTCCACCTCTTCGCTGTAAGCCATATATCACGCGCCCCTGCCGCCTTTCAAGGAGCGGGGCCTCGGTGCTGAGTAGTGCCGTGAGCCCACGCTCTCCCGTCCTGGTCTCGAACGTTGGTCTTGAAGGGTCCCGAGGCGTGAGACCGAGGGCGGCTCGGTGGATGCTCACCCAAGGGAAGCGTTCGAAGGTGGCAGAAAGCGTTCGCACCAGGAATCTCTTTCCCAAATCCCCCAAAAAAGCGCCCGACCTTCGACCTCCAACGGCGCCATGAAGAGATCAATGTCCGCCCGCTGCATGGTGGTCTGGACCAAGGTCTCAAGGCCCTGGGATCCAACCTTCCGCCGGATCCGGGCAAGGCCCACCTGCCCAACCCGCCGAACCCGCCGAAGGGGCTTCAGGGGATCGATGCGTCTCTGCCCTCATCGACCCGTCTCTTCTCTGCCCTCATGCGGTTCATCCTTTCTCCCTCCACGGCCGAGCATTTTCTGCTTTGCGTGGTGGTTCATGTTCCCTGCCAGATCGGGAGAATCCGCGGGGTTTTGATCCACAGAATGAAGGTCTCACAGACGATCATATCTCTACCGATCTGCCAAGTTGCCATGATGACTTTGTTCTCACCATGATCACCGCAATGATATTTCATTCCCGTTCATCATGAAACCGATCTTCAAACACTTGGCCATGGCTTGTCCTTCTGTGTGCTGGGTTTGT